GATGCAGCAGCAGTGCAAGCAGAGCCACGGGAATGTGCTCGGGGAGCACCCTCCCCATGCAGCACATCCAGAATCCTTAACTCCCCAGGATTCAGGCCACAGCAGCAAACTTTGATGTCTCTTAAGACTGGACACAAGTTTTACCATCTATTTGATATAAAAGATTTTCTTCCTTTGTATCTGATCTTTCGTATCTGTTGCTCTATGAAACTGTTTATAGCATCCAACAGTCTGATTTTATAAACCCTCCTGTTACTATATATTTTTCATTGCCCCTTTTGCATGAAATGTTAAAGAAAAAATCTGGTAAATGGAGTATTATTTAGAAGTGCTGGAGATTTATTTGTCAGAGGACTCTCACTACAAAATCTCTTTCCATTTAATGGGGTATATTTAGAAAAGGAACATATGTTCCATCTCTTGCCTCCAAATATCTTGATCAGGAGAGAAAAAGACTCTTTCCAATTTGGGCCCCAACTCGTTGAACTGGACGCTGAGCATTCTGCTTTAAAAGACTACAGCTTAATGCAAAGGGAAACACTAATATTTATAACACTAACATCAGATATAACAGCTATAACGCTATATTATATAGAACAACATGTTATTGCATCCCTATAACATTATATTATAGATAATATATTCTAATATATGATCACGTCCCTAACGCGTCCCCCTGTGCGTCAGGCACAGCCTGGGCTGGCAATAATGGAAAGCTGGGGAGCTGCAGACCCAGTGGTGGGGACAAGGACTCCACTTTCCCATCACAAAATAAACCACACAAGAAATTCAAGGCGGATTCCCAGTAGCGCAGGCAGCTGGGACCGCAGTGGTTGTGATGTGTTTGCCATGAGACTTACCCTGGTGCAGCGAGGGTCTGGACACTGCTACAGGGCACTGGGTACCAGCCTTCCCCAGCAAACATGCTGCTGAGGGTCGGGTTTCATCACAGAATAATGGAGTGGTTTGGGTTGGAAGGGACCTTAAAGCTCATCCAGTTCCAACCCCTGCCACGGGCAGGGACACCTTCCGCTAGACCAAGTTGCTTCAAGCACCGTCCAACCTGGCCTTGAACACTGCCAGGGATGGGGCAGCCACAGCTTCTCTGGGCAACCTGTGCCAGCGCCTCAGCACTCACAGGGAAGAGCTTCTGCCTAAGAGCTCATCTCAGTCTCCCCTCTGTCAGGTTAAAGCCATTCCCCCTTGTCCTGTCCCTACAGGCCCTTTGTCCAAAGCCCTTCTCCAGGTTTCTTGTAGCCCCTTTAGGCACTGGCAGCTGCTCTAAGGTCTCCCTGGAGCCTTTTCTTCTCCAGGCTGACCCAGCCCAGCTCTCTCAGCCTGGCTCCAGAGCAGAGCTGCTCCAGCCCTCGCAGCATCTCCATGGCCTCCTCTGGACCCTCCACGTCCCTCTTGTGCTGGGGGCAAAGGAAAAGGATGGGACAGAGCAGGTGCTGCTTCCTATGGAAAATTAACCACATCCAGTAGTATTTTTCAAATGTCAGTAATTTGCCTGGACATCAGTAACTTAAAGTTGACCTTCTGATACCTGAAAATATGTGTGAGAATAATGTCATCAGGCTTAAATGCACAACAGTGAGGCATTCTGACCAAAAACTTCATTCGTGATCAACTTTACACCCAGTTGATGCTGTGGCCCATCATGGCTACAGACGGGCTTGGACATGCTCAAATGAGACAAACCGTGTGACACTGAAGGTCAGCAGGGATGAGAAGTTGATCATTCAGAAGTACTATGTAGAATTTTAAACACATTTATAAAATGGACACTGATCTTCAAACCACTGCAGACTACAGTGCTGCTGTCCTTTCTGCTCTGCAAGCAGAGATCAGCATTCCCAGAAACATTTCCATCATCACAAGAAGTCTCAAATCATTTGTGCTGTGGTAGCACCCATCAACAGGTGGACTATATGCACTTAAAATCCTGCAGCCTTTTCAGCAATGACCACCTCACTGCAGCTAGAGGGATGAAGCATCAGATCCAAGGCCAAAGTTGTCCCCAGTTCCAGCACCATCTCCTATGTTTTAAATGATGGTAAACAGATCCATTTGTCTCATCCCCATTCGTTCCCAGCTGCAACCTGCTCTGTAGCCGCTCACCCATCTGTAGCCACAGCAAGAGGCAATCTGGGACACAGAAAAACATCTACTGTTTTCCTCTGGGAAAGCTGCCTGAAATGCAAAGTCATTGACTTGCATGGATTTGCATATGTAACATGAAGAATTTCTCAAGTATCATAAATCTCAAACCACAAACTAATGCCATGATGTTCCTATCATCTGGTCCCTTGGATGCTCAAAGGCAAGTATGATCTAGGAAGAATATGATTTATTTTTAATTTCGATTGAATTAAAAAGAGGTTGAATATTCTCACACCAAATAATTGATGTCAAAAGAGGAAGAGATGTGACTAAGTTTTAATTATTAGACTGATTTTACCTTTGTAAAATACATTTTTACATGTAACAAGCGAAGAAAATTTGTGCCCTTCTGAAAATACATGCTCATACTTCCACAAATCACAAAAGCCAAAGACAGAAGGGAGCAGAAGCAGGCATGTGATGGGCAGAAGAGATTTTTCCCCAAAGGTAAATCTCCTGGCATTATCTGTATATGAACATCATCTGCTTTGATGCTGAATAAAACAACAAATAATCCATGTCTTACAGAATTTGGTCATTGTTGTTAGGAAGTTTCTTTGAAGAACGGCAGACACCAACCAGTGTGTTATTTAGATTGAAACTTCTAAACTCAGAGACGTACAGAAACATCACCAAACACGGGGGAAAAAAAAAAAAGAAACCAAAGATTCTGTACTGCTGTCAAAGGATGAAGATGCTCAAAGTACCTACAGCTTAATCCATTTAAGGATTAAAAATGAACCAAGCCCACAGAGAAGGGGTGAATTCATAGCCAGATTTGTACATTCAATTCCAATAGCTGAAAACTAATTATAGAGGCAAATGAACTTCACTGGAATATTTTCCACTCCTCCCAGCAACCAATCTTGGAAAATGAAACGTTACCTTTCAAAAAAATTCCCAACCAGTTTGTCTGGGTGTAGAGGGTCAGTATGGCTCTGTTGATTAGGGCAAAGTAACTTAGCTGGTAAGACAGAGCTGCTATAAAATTAAATCAGTTTCTAATCTATTTTGTTAATTACACTGATGTGAACTCTCCTACCAACATCTCCAGTGTGGTCGGTGCAGCTGCTACTGGTGATGCCAGCACTGAATTGTGGCTTCTCCTCCCTCTCCAGGCTATGGACAAAAATGTCACAACTTAACCTCAGCATATACTATTTAATACACTTTGTACAGTAGGGATTTGACAGGCTCAGACCAAAGAGCAGAATCCCAGGCAGGGGCAAGGGAAGCTGGTAACTGCATCAGGGTGATACCCACTGGGATCTCTGCCCTCGCCCTCAGCGGAACACATTAAACAGCCATGTGGAGAGTCGGTCTCTGTAAGACCCTCCGGAAACATCTGCGTTCAGGGACAGTGTGAAATGGCCTCAACAACTCCTTCTTAATTTGCTTATCAAAGCTGCTTTCCTTGCAGCTTTTGCAGCATCAGTGTCATGGACCTGGTATGGATGTCGATTCTGTACTGGATTATATTAAGCCACTTGCAGTGGCTTTTCCATGCTCTGGGCACCAAAGGGAGGTGACCAGCCTCCCAGGGCCTCTGTAGGGCCACCAATGCTCACAACAAAGTGGAATGTGAGGCTCGGGGCTGTGCCAGCGATTTCCAACTCCATCCACATTGTAAACACTTGCAACTGCCTTTTCAGACACTCCCCAAATCTGTCTATCAGGTGGAGAATCTCGAGATTACATATTTTCTATTTATCTGTCATGCTCCCTTCTAGGGTTGCAGAGAGGATGCAGGACATGTGGGCGCACACACCCCCCATTCACCATGCTGTTCAGCAGCCAACCCCGGTTGTTTTGTTTTCAGTAAAAAGTATTTCAGAATCTTTCCTACAGACCCGATGCTCCGAAGGCTGATGCTAGGGATTTCTTTCTTCCCTTCCTTAGAGGACCTCTGGGCTGCTCCCCATCTCCGCTAGGATGCACAGCCCTGGCTGGGCGGGTAGGAGGAGTGGGACGGGGCGGGGGGGCTCTCCGAGGGGAGGAGGGACAACTTTAGAAGTCTCCATAGTCTTTTCCTTTCAGGAAACACATCCTGTTAATGTTTGACTGCGGTGGCAGTGGCTCTGTTTGTTGCAGTCGACTACGCCCTGAGGCTCACCAAAAACAGCCACAAAAACAACCATTTCCTCTCCGTGGAGGGGGGGCTCTTTCCCCACAGCAGTGGCTGTTCTCCAGCCCCTGCACTCGCAGCTTGGGTCTTCAGAGAGGGACAAGGCATAGCAAAGCCCTGGAGACTCTCCAAACTCACAGCGCTCTGTGAGATGACAGCATTCCCCTCCAGTTTGGCTTGCCTTTGAGAGAATGACATTTGTCACAGTTTGCGGGATATTCTGAAGTCTGCACCTGAAAAGAAGGCTTTTGGAGCGGCGCTGGTTGAGTCAGAGGACCGGGTGCTTGGCACACTGCTGGCCAGCATCCCCACCTCAGCCCCGGCAGCAGCTCTCATCTCCTGCTTCAAGACTGGATTCTGTCAGGATTCACTGCGTCTCGCAAGGAATGGACCTCCCTGTCATTCAGTTCATCACAGGACTGGCATTCCTTATCAAAGTGCAAGAAGGTGGATAAGCTGAAGCTGGGAAGGACCTAAAAAAGCCTCTCTGTGTTCTTATTTTATGGAATTCCCCAACCTACCTCACAAAATTCTCATTTACTTGATCAGAAACACCTCTGGAGTTGACTTTGAGAATGAACGGTGATGTCCTCTAGCCCTTCATAACATCCTCGCGGAACTGCCTGTTTCAAGTCCAATTTCAATGTGCTGCAGCTGACTGAGACCTTGTGTCTTCTGCAAATAGGGACTGGCAGCAAGCTGACAGTCAGATATGACCGTCCAGAAACTGGTAGCCACAGCTGTGTTGGTAGCCCTGGTCTCACTTGTTCTCAACAACGCCGCTGCCTTTACTTCCAACTGGGTGTACCAGACCCTGGAGGATGGGCGTAAGCGCAGCGTGGGGCTCTGGAGGATGTGCTGGCTGGCAGAGAAGAGCAGAGGAGGTGCAAGCACGAATGCCAGGCATGGGCAAGGGGAGGAGCGCGAATGCGAAGCCCTGGGCTGGGGTTCGGAGTCAGCTGGGTTCCAGGAATCCCGTAGCACTGTCAAACGTAAGTCCCATCTTTTGTCTGCTCTGCTTTTGCTATGCTGTGACTGCCAAAATGTACCTGGTCCCCAGGAAATTTATAACCTAATCCTGAATTGTTGTTAACCATCTTATTCTAAACATCTCTTTAACATTCATCTCCAAATAAATTAATCTGGGAAAAAAATAATGATGTCCACCAGTGATGAACTCAACTCCTTGTCCTCCCACCCCACAAAAGCAGTAATTTACACCATGTTGCTTTACACAGTACATGGAACTATGTAAGTGCAAGTTCAAAGCTCTGAGACATCTGCTGCTTTCTTTTCCCTCCTGGGTCCCTGCTATCAGCATGTCCCTTGCTGCTCAATACATTTAACCCCAACCCCAGTTGCTCTGAATACCATAAAATTAAAAAAACAAAGTAAGCATTCAGATGCCATGTGACAATATTTCACCCTCTGTGTACATTTGTGGGAAGTGCCAGGAAAAGACAAGACAGAAATACTTTTGGTAAAAACATGTAAAATTGAGACAGGCCTTAACGAATGCAACTATATATAGCAATTGGTATTCTGCTTGGGGAACATGAACGTCATGAAGCATGGTGTGTTCCTCATTTTGCAAATTCACAGACCCATGGGATCTGACAAGCACTTATGGCTTAACCTGAGTTAGTTAAAAGTTTTGGATGAGATGAAACCTATAACCTGTTGAGAATTATAAAGCTGAATAATAAAAATGTTCACTTCTCACAGTCCTCGTGTTAACGCCCCTGCTGTCACTCAGCAGTAGAGTAGAGCTGTGCCTGGAGTAGCTGCGGCCACTCAGAGCAGGCCATGAGTGGCTGGTAACAGCCAGGGCCATGTGTCCCCCACATCACTGCTCTGTCTGCAGAGAACCATGCAATGGTTTGGGTTGAAAGGGGCCTTAAAAGATCATCCAGTTCCAAGCCCCGTCCTTCAAGGAACTGAATTTAACAGAACAAATGCCTATGAAGTTTATGCCCTGACAGACACAAGGATTTTCCTAGAGGTTTTAAGGGTGCTCATAAACAGCTCTGCTGCCTTGGTGCCATTAATAATAATAACATAAGTGATTTCAGAGATACTTCTTTTTTTTCATGGTTTGAAGTGTGGAGAAAGAGCAAAATGCTCTGCTCCTCCTCACAGTCTCTGGAGATGAAAACACAGAAGTATGAGGGGAACTTCTTTTAAAAACCTGTTTTAATGTGGACCCATTCCATATAATGTTTTCCAACAAAATTGCTCAGTAACATTTCTTTCACATTTGCTAATATTAAACCTGCATAAAGCACAAACAGAAAATTTCCAAACTGTTGTAAAGCCCTAAACCTAACTTGCAATTCTTTTTTAACTGAAAGAACTTTTGTAATGACAAATAATTATAAAAAGGATTAGACTGTTGAAAAGGTCCTTGATGTGTATCAGCAATTTCTTCACTAGAATCATTGTCCCAATTAATATTTACAAGCCATTTCTAACTTGAAAAACATGCACACCAGTCATGAATGTTAAAAGTACACGTTCTATAATCAATAGCTGGAATGAGCTGTGTATTGCAATTTGGCACCTGCAGCATTTTAAACCCACCAACTTGTATTTCTTGCTGTCCACAAGTCAGAAGGTGGGTGGTGCGAAAAAGATGGGCACAGATACGCCAGTTTCATAGCAGAGTTGTTTGGTCAGCAATTTTTTACATCAAATAAAAGCAATATGTGATAGAAAAAATTTAAAATTTCAGAGTAATAATCACAGCATGGTCCAGTCCCCAGAAGAATACTCTAAAAAACACTCTTAAAATTTCTGCTTTCAAGGAGGACTTTGAAGCCCAGTGATGCAATTTGTATAGGAATAAAGCATCCATTCACTATTTCATCTGGAAGCAACTAGTAAGCAAAAGGCCAATTCTGCATTTAAAAGAAAATCTCTGCTGCTGTGCGATGACAAACTAAGCAGGAAACGAGTCTGTTGACAGATACGTTTCCAAGGATTGTACATAACAGTCAATACAGGCCTGATTCTGCATCCACGGTTTTGTCATTTCTTTAATGAGAAATCACACCTTATTTTAGAAATATATACATGGCAATCCTCATCTGTCACTTATAGATAAACCACAAACATGTATGCGTATGTTTATACGTACATATAAAAACTTTCTGAACAAAGAAGTTCCTTCCTCAATAATAAGAGTTAACATGCAGTATTTTGCATGTCATTTGTCAAACAATAGAAAATATGTTCTTCCAACAGCAATGCAATAAAAGCCACAATCTTGCTCACGTTAAAAAAAAAATTATGTATACACACACCTACATATGGGGGGCAAGTTATTTATATAACAATTCAACAGAAAAAAAGTAAAACCTTTGAGAATTTGCTTTACCATATACTGATGACTTCATACAAGTAGTATGCAAGTAACAGCCAATTAAATGCATTACTACAAGCAGGCCCAGTCACTGGCAGAGAGAAGCACATTCTTAAAACCTCTATTTTTCACTGATTTTCACTGCCTGCTCTTTCTCCCACTGAAATCACAGGCAATGCTCCTTCTCAGGGGACACAACACAGCTGGGGTGGGGTTTTCCGCCCCCCATCATGTACACAGCTTATGCAAAATGACTGCAAGAAAAAATGTGGAAGTAGCTCATTGTATCAGGATTGCACGTGCTTAAACTGAAAATAAACTACAGTAAACTGAAACTAATAATAATTGAAGTTTTGCATATTTTTTTGTGTATGACAGATCATACCAAATGATCTGTCAAAAGATCATGCAGGGATTGAACTACAAAAGTCACTGTGATGGAGCATGTCTGCCAAAAGCCTCTCTGGAAAGGCAAAGTCACATTCCATATGAAACACCTCTCTGATCCAATTCCCTGGTAAAAGGACACCTGTGTGAATTATTTCACTGTAACACAAATCACTGGAGCTAGAGGAAAATGAAGGTGTTTCACACTCATATCCTATAATGTAAACACTGCATCAGGGATATTAAAGTGTCAGTAAAGGACCACTGGTATAAATGTCAAGTGACACAAAAGACCAGGGGAGCTTACAGATGCTGCAGGAGAGGCGCCATCAGAAATAAAAGATTAGAATTGGGGAAAAAAGAAATCCAAGGACAGAAGTAAATGGTATTAAAAATATTATATGGAAACAAAGCATCTCACTGCCAACTATTTCAGCAAGGCACAATGCAAGAAACATGGATGATGCTGGTCATAGAGAACAGTACCTCAACTCTGTTTTTCAAGCTTCTTTATCCACTTCTTTCTTTCTGTCTTTGCCCTGCACCCTTCTTGTAACCATCTGTGATGCCAAAAAGCTTCTGCGAGACAGTTCAAATGACTAACAGTAAGAATAAGAAACAGATGGAAGGTTTGGGGTGTGGGGATGGGACGTTTTTTTGTGCGGTTATTTTTCTGTTGGATTAAGTAGTGGTACCAGGAGTCCAACAAGTTCTGCTTCTAGCCCAAGCTGTGTGATGTTAGTGTGAGATAGCTTCCTTGAAGTGGCAACAAGCTACCAGATCTGAAATCTTTGCTTATGCTGAGAAGCAGAGCCCAGTTATGAGAACACCAATCAAAGTTTTTTTAACATGGACAAACCTAAATGACACAAACTTAAAAGGCTTCATCAAGAACTGAGATGGTACATCCCCTCTTTAGACACTTCAAGGAAACCTAGCCAGGTCACCTCTCCTGTCACCTGAGTGAGGGCAAAGAAATTTGCCAAAGTTTATGGAAATGCAGTTTCAGAGCTGTTGCAAAAATTCAGATTATGCACTTGACTGCATCCCTTAACCCTACCACATGTAGTAGAAGCATACACTTAGTAAGATCTTGGGTAAGACAGCGTGTCTTGAGTAATCAATACTAACCTTTGGGCCCACTTAACGCATCAGCAGACCCATTATACTGAGCAACACAGAATCATGCAAGGGCACACAAGCTACCTCAAATAGTGAGAATGCACCACCAGTGATGCCCTCTCAGAGTAAACCAGACCTACTCAAAGCCACTGCTCATAGAATCACAGAACCCCAGACTGGTTTGGGCTGGAAGGGACCTTAAAGCTCATCCAGTTCCAACCCCTGCCACAGGCAGGGACACCTTCCACTAGACCACGTTGCTCCAAGTCCCTGTGTCCAACCTGGCCTTGAACACTGCCAGGGATGGGGCAGCCACAGCTTCTCTGGGCAACCTCTGCCAGCACCTCACCACCCTCACAGGGAAGAGCTTCTGCCTAAGAGCTCATCTCAGTCTCCCCTCTGGCAGGTTAAAGCCATCCCCCCTTGTCCTGTCCCTACAGGCCCTTGTCGAACATCCCTCTACTGTTACGTATGTCCTGGTGCAGTACCAGGCCAGTAATAACTGTGTTGCACTCAGTGAGCACACCAGATTACTTGAAATCAGCTTACATATTTTTAACCATCCTGCATGGTACAAATATGCCTTGAAGTCCTACTGTGCTGCAAGGCTATGACTGGGTGGACAGATGGAGCTGATTTATTCATTACACGAGGTCACACTCTGTCCCTTGTTGTCTAAAGAACATTATGAACAATGTGGAAACACAGGAATAGGGAGGGGTTTGAAAAGATATAAAAACCTTGCTCAGTTCTTCAGGGCTCCAGAAGATACAACAAAAGTCCCAACAGTGGGAAGCTTTTATCAGCTATAGATGCCTGGAGCAAGATAGCTCTGCTTAATTGTAGTTCTTACAAGAGAGTGTAACCAGTGCCAGGGGAAGGCACAGTGTCATAAGCACCTATGTGACTGCCACAGGGACCAAACATAAACACCTGTCCAGCCTAAATGTATGATTTATACAAACACAAGTGCACCATGAAAACGGTGGCAAAGGCAGGATGTTACAGGATGCTGCCCTGTGTGGGAGCAAGGAGCTGGCCTTGTCTTGCAGAGGCAACACTTCACTGGAGTGTCCATGTCCATAAATTTCCAATGTCCACACATCTCTGAAATTTGGCTGG